TGAAACACCAGAATGCTGGGGTTCCCCTGTTTGGAATTGAGAATGACATGATCCCAGAATTCTCCACCATTGATTTGGAAATAAGACAAGCTCTGAGATCTCTCACTATGGTTGAAGAAATGCTGCTTTCTCCTGTTCTTCCCATCATGACTGTCTATCAGCTGCACAGCAATGGCCAAAATGAGCACCAGGGCTTTGTGGCAAGCTTTCGCCAGCAGAGTATTGAGTTTGTGAAGCAAGTCCCTCACCTCCCAGCTGCAGTTTCAGTTATTGTTGTTTGGAGAGCAAATCAAGATGAACACAGCCAATCTAGAGACTTGACTGTTTGTAGAGCAAGAGTGCAGAAGATTGCAAGGTTTTTGGTGGAGAACCACCCTGACTTTATTGAGGCAGCCGCCTGCAGTCTCGGCGTTAACGACCAGCGCCAGCTCGGCTTCGTCCACGTCCCGGGCGGACGCCCTGCTGTTATTTGTTTGTCCAATTTTCGCTCGTACTTTCGCCTCGTTCGGCTTCGTCTTTGCGTCTCCCTCCCCACGTCCACGCAGTGATGTCGATCCCATCACCTCAATTGTCTTAATACACCGGAACAACTGTGCGACCTCGACTCGCTTTCACGCATCCCAACAGGTCTGGTTGAAGGATTTTCAAGTTCGTTGAAAGTCCCAGGGATAAGTGTTGTGGTCCGTGTTGCAAAGCTGTACGACACCGGCCGCTTATCCGATCAAGGACAGCGACGGTTTTGGCCGCCCACTTGTTCATTGCCCTCGAAAGCTATTGGAATCTTGTGGTCCCGCGCCCGCCCGGTGTTTCTTCACCCAGAATCACGTCTGTTCCCTCCTCCACCAGAGTTCTTTTGCCTTTTTCTCAACACAAGTACGAACCAGACCGACGATGGCGACGAGGAGAGCGCTGCGCGCACCGCCAGACACCGTTTTTTTTTTTGCCTGGATGTGCTCTGGCTGGCTGCGCCTGGAAGACCCTTCGGCCACGGCTCCAATTGCGGTTTCCCTGAGCTGATCCCGATCCGAAAAATCGAGGGGGAAATCAATTGTTCTTCCACCGCCAAAGTCCCCCATCTAACCTTGAAGAAAACCGTACTTCAGGATATTTCCTTGCTTCTTGGGTCAGCCGGACACATTTCCAGCGAGCCTGTCACTCATCTGACTGGGCTTGGTCGCCGTCTGACTCGTCCGGGTCGTCGGACTGCGATCTAACTCGGTCGGTGTAACGATTCTTTTCTTGCCTGTCCAAGGCCTTCCACGCCTGGGCCACTTTCTCGCTCATTTCCCCTGTTTTCACATCCATCAAGAGCGGGCGGCGTTTTTCAAAAGAAATGGGGGTTCCTCAGTTCAGTACCCAACCACAGCCGATCCCCAGGCGCAGAAAAGGGGAGCTCAGCAACTCACCAAGGGAAAGGCTCGGGGTCTCTTTTTGGATGGCGCGCCACTTCTCGCGCGCGAATACGGTGAAAGCTGGAAATTTTTCGGGAAGGCTGGAGTTAAATTTTGCAATCCCGCGACCCAAGAGAGGCATTTGTGAACAGAAGCAAGCTCAAAAAGATACGTAGCTGCGACGAGGGCGGTGGGAGGGGGAAAAGGTTGAAAAGCAGACCTGTCCGCGATACGACACGGGTGACCTTGGGCGGCGGAGCCGGCCGTCGCGCGGTTCGACCCAGTGGAAACTGCGCGAGAGGGGGAACAAGCGCGGGTGTGTTGGCTGCACTTGCCAAACTTGACGGAACAATAGCGTTAGTACCGTTTGGAGCAGGCACTTGGTTCAAGGGGGGTGCGTCTGCTTGCATCCCAGCGCCAATGGCAGCTGATGGAGGAGGAAAGGGGTTGGGCCCGGAAAGACCGATCGGCTCTGGCTTTTTTCTGTTGGCAAAGGAATGTCGTTAGCCCCGGCGGAGTGCAAGACAAGGGTGGCAACTCTCACTTAGGTAGAGTGATCACAATGCCAATGTCAGAAGAGATCTGTGCTTCGGGTTCACAGCCGCTTGTTCCATCCGAGCAACTCTCATATCTTGATGTCCACGGCTTGCCACCACCGGGAAGGGCACTGGTGTGATGGATGACTTGAAGCGGAACTCGCTTTAAGTCCTTATGATGGTACAATGTTCGAGACATAGATGGCGAGAAGTCTGGTTGCGGGAGGTCTGCAACATTGCCGACAAGGAGGTCGTTTTCGCTGGAGAGTTTGGGGCGGAGGTTCTCGTCCAGCTTGTAATCCACACTCGAGAGGTTGTTTTCTTCGTAATACTTTCGGTAATAGCAACTAGATGTCCAAGAGTCAACTGGGGGTCGTAAAAAGACACGAGAGCACACCTGTAATGATGCTCCACACTATCTTCCATGTCGAACCGCTTGAAGTAAATGTTCTCCAATCCAAAAAGCTGCTCCAATGCACGCATGCACAGTTTTTGTTCCTCCGACTCAAATTGCACGTCCGAAGCGGGACACGCCTGAGGCACATACACACACCCATCATCACCGTCGTCGCGTCTGTTCGTGAGCCTTTCGGACTGTTGGTCGGCCTGGGCAGTCAGCTCGTCGAACCGAAAGTGCTGCTGCACTTTTGCTTGCAGAGGGAACGGCAACGTCAACGCCAGGTCCCATTTGCCCGTCAATGCCTCCAGCAGCCGCCGCCAGCTCTCGACGGTGTCCAAAGCCGCTTCGCGGGCCTGCTGAATCTGCGCCGCGACCGGTTTCATCCGCTCCAGGGCCTCCCGGCCGCCTTCGGCCGTGAAGAAGACGGACAGGGACCATTTCAGATCGAACGGCGACGGGATGCACAGGAAACGGAGGTCGCAGTCGATGCGGGCCGGAGTGAGCTCGTCGAGGTCGTGGTCGTCGGCATCGTCGTCGTCGCCAGCCGCGCCGCCGGGTCCCCCGGCGTCCGGCTCGTGCGACACGAGCTGCAGCAGCATGCTTGTCAATCCCTGGTTCATCGGCTGGATCGTCTGGCGCGGGAAGGAGAAGCCGAAGAACCCCGGGGCGCGCTGGGTCCACTGCAGTGGGGTTCTGATTCCCGTGTCGAGGCCCGGTCGCATGGGAAACTGCCAGGGGCGGGCGGTGTCGTAGAAGGGGAGGACGACGCGGCGGAAGACGGCGGGCGAGCAGTCGGGCAGGTCGATGGAGTGCGGGTCGCGGAAGTCGAGGATGCGGGATGGGACGTCACGCAGGACCGCGGGGACGGAAACCCTCCATATCATTCAATAACGGGTCAGCCCATTGAATCCCAACGAAAGCGAGAACGCCTCAAGGGGCTATCCGAAAACAGTGGTTAATCTCACACACCATCAACAACACTCTCCCAGCTGAGATCTTTGGCTGTTTCTTCACCCAGAATCACGTCTGTTCCCTCCTCCACCAGAGTTCTTTCGCCTTTTTCTCAACACAAGGACGAACCAGACCGACGACGGCGACGAGGAAAGTGCCGAGCGCACCGCCGAACGCAGTTTTTTTGCCTGGATGTGCTCTGGCTGGCCGCTCCTGGAAGGCTCGTCCGACCACGGCTCCAATTGCGGTTTCCCTGAGCTGTGGATCCTGATTCAGCGGGTGCTCCTCGTCGAAGTGTTCCTTGAACTCGTCGGAAACGCATGGCAGTCCGCCGACCGTTCCTGCGCTGCTCTACCAGACCCGTCTGCGTTCGTTAAACCTGCTGGTTCGGGTGGCGAAAACAAACCCCTCACCCATTTAGGTGCAGGCGTAGGCACTGGCAACCAACTCCGGTGCAGGCAAACCTCCTTCCATATTCTGGATCGAGCGCTTTCGTCGTTGAAAAACGCTGAGCGGGCGGCATGACAGAGGCTCTCCACCACGAGGACGTGCTGGGCAGAAAGAAAACCAAAAACAGAAAGCGAAGCGTCGAGATGGAGGGATCATGGAGTGAAGGGGGAAATCGTTGGAAGTAAATTTTGCTTGGATCGTTGAATGTTGTGTTCGTCTTGCAGACGATTGACTGGCGAGCGTACCTTGCTGCATGCTATCGCCACCCTTCTGCTCGTAACCGGTTTCGCATTGTGCAATGTGCTGATGTCATCATTTCGAAGCTAAAACTTGGAACTTCTGGGAGTGAGCCTCCGCTCACACTTCGACCGAACAAGACACCAGGGTTGATTCCCTTTTGATTCTGCGTTGTTGCCGGAAAAAACGCGCACCCATAAAATCATTGAAATCACACGCCATTCTTCCATTTCCCTTTTTGTCAGCTGGTGGCGAGATCTCACTTTTGATTGTATCTGGGTGTACGGAGGAGTGTGATTGTTTGGCTTCATGAATTTCTTTATCCCAATGGCCACGGGGTACTTCCTTTCCTGTCAAATAGAATAACGACGAAGTGCTGCAAGTTTCTGAACTCTGGCGGACTCAGACCCGGAAACATCATTCATCGGGTTCGGTTTTTTTGGGATTCGGATTGATCTGGATCCAATCTGTTTCCGATCAATTTACCTCGGATTCTGGATATCCACTTGAATAAGTCGGTTTTTCAACGAATATTCGCCAAAAAGTGGAATCCGTATCGGCCCCGAATCCATCCGGAATCCGATTTTGCGGAGGCCAGCGTTAGGCACAGCGAGGCTCTGAGAGAATGGCATTGTGTTCGAAGTTGTGGAGCTTCAACCTCGGGAACACGCCGGGCCTTGCGTTTGCCTCCTCGTCGGCGTCACAGTCGCCGCCGCGCAGTTCGAGCGCGATCGGCTCGCGGCGCCAGCAGCATCGCGTCGCAGGCGTCAGTGGGCTGGGCGGCGCGGCGTCGTCTGCCTTGGCGAGCTCGGGCCTCGTGTCGAGCTCGAGCGTAACCAACCACATCGACGCCGTGCCCAGGGGCTGTACACGATGATTGTGGCCAGCGCGCGACGTCACCGGGTTTGTAAATGAAGAAGGTAGGGGGGAGCGCGCCCGTCCGAAGCACGTGGACAGGATTCGACGGACATCCAAAAGCTTGGGTTTCAGATAATAAATACGATAACTAAAATATGTGAGTTCTACTTGGCAACAGACAACGTGGCCGAGTGGTTAAGGCGACAGACTACAAATCTGTTAGGGTTTCCCTGCGCAGGTTCAAGTCCTGGCGTAGTCGTGTGTTCGACGTAATTTTACACTCATGTGCCATTGCCGCTTTGTCCTGCGTGATTACACTTGCAAGCTTTTATTGGTGAGCGTTTCCTCTCCTCAACTTGCCTCATGGGCCCGACGCTGAGATACTCGCTGCTGGCAAAAGCAGCAAGCAGCTTTTCGTTCTTTGCAGTTGGTGTGGCAGTTGAGCATGGGAGGAGCTTTGTGTGAAGTCTTCTCTTGGAACAATTTGTACATGGCAAGGCGAATTCTCTGAAAACTCCCAGAATTGAACTGAGCTGTCACCCACTTTGTCGCGTAGGCCTTGTTTTTGGTTTGTGCAGGGCGTCGTCGTCCGTCCTCGCCGATAGCCCGACAGGATATTGAGACCCGCTCTTTCTTGCGAACGCGGGACGCAGCGGCGGAGTGGGCACGCAGCGAACACTGGTCGACGTCCAGCATCAAGTGGCGCGGGTTTGGCGGGTCCGCGTCGCAGCCAAGTGTTGGCCAAAAAGAGAATCATACACGCTGATAAAACTATGGCCGCTCCGTCCACGCACCGACCGTGATTCTGGTGGCTGTATCATCGGAAGCGAGTCGCTTCCATTCGCGTTTCGGCGTCCGCGCCCGTCGCCGCGCTTCGACTCGGATTGGCCCAACGTGCAGTCGGAAGTCAATAACTGCGTTGGGGGCCACAGCGTAGGCAGCAAACCCGACGTCGTGCTGGGCTGCAAGAGCCAGTGAGTTTCTCGGCGAATTTCTGGACTCAGGCCGGACTTCCACATCGCTCTCAGAGTCGACAGTGGTGTTCAAGTAGCTGGCACGCTGTTGTGTAAACAGTCTACTCTGAGTGAGTGAGTGGAAGGAGTGAATGAAGTGGAGATGTGTGTTTGTGGGGGAGAGGAAGTGAATGAAGTGGAGATGTGTGTTTGTGGGTGGTCCTCTCCCCCACAAAGACACATCTCCACTTCATTCACTCCTTCCACTCACTCACTCAGAGTAGACTGTTTACAACAAGGAACTGAGAGGAGTGATGATTGTATTGGAAACAATAAATACCAATGACCACAAGTAGACAAGTCAGGAAAGCAAAGAAGGTTCCAGAAGGTTTCACAAGGTTCCATGAAGGAATGTTCTAGAAGGTTCCAGAGGTCTCCAGGGGGTGATTAATAACATCATCTCCCCCTTTTTGGCCTCTTCTGCAACTTGGTCTTGAACATGAGCAGAAGGTTTTGGCAGTGAGTGAGTTTGACTCAGGCTCCCAGGTGTTGTCAGCATCTGAGTCACCTTTCCACTTGACAAGGAACTTGAGTGCCCTTCCAAACCACTTGTCATCCAAGATTTGTTCACCCTCAAACTCCTCTTCAGCTTCTACCTCAACTGGAGGAGGAGGAGGAACAACTCAGCTAGGAATGGAGTTGGCCACAAACTTCTCCAAAAGGCTGACATGGAAAACTGGGTGGATCTTCATGGATGCAGGGAGATCCAGCTTGAAGGTGACTGGGTTGATTTGCTTCAAGATCTTGAAAGGTCCCAACTTGAGGTTGTCTAGCTTGGGACTTGGTCTTTTGGTCTGCAAGTTGTTCCTCAGAAGCCAAACTTGCTGACCCACAGCAAAGTCATGGTCCATTCTGTGAGTGTTGGCAATCTTGAGGCATCTTCTTGGGCTCACTTCAGGGTGGAGTCCAGGAAGGTGCTGATGATCTTGAGCTCATGCAAGTGTGAAGCCACAGCAGGAGCTTGGAGCCATAGGTTGCAAAGAAAGGAGATAGCTGGTGCTTGAGTGGAGAGAATTGTTGAGAGCAAATTCTGCCAACAGAAGGAGGGTGGGCCAATCATCCTGTTGATAGCTGACATAGCAACTCAAATACTACTCTAGGGTCTGGTCTGTTCTTTCTGTTTGTACATCAGTCTGAGGGTGATTAGCAGTTGAGAGTTGAGACTTGATTCCAAGGGCTGCTGTGAATGCTTTTTCAAATTGGGATCTGAACTGTGGTCCTCTGTCACTGATGATTGACTGAGGCAGTCCAATCAGTGTTGCCCTCCCTTTGCCGCAAAGTCCGCAGTAATCCTTCTATTAGGCACTCCTCGTGGGGCGACTTGTCGCGTCGGGCGCTTTTTCGCATTTTGTGCGAACATTGAAAAAAAGAGAAAGGGAAAAAAAAAAAAATGAAGGCAGAAAGGGAGGAGAATAACGATTTGCCGCAGCCAAAAAAAATGCAAATAAATCTGCACAGTTCAAAATAACATCGGAAGGGATATTTAACCGCGTCCCGTCGTGCATTTCCCAGCAGGGCCACCAGTTCGTTGCGGTTCCACTCCTTTCCCATGTATCCATCCGTCTCGACGGTTGCTTGCCGTATTTTGGTGTTCGTCGGGCTTTCGTTGCCGAAACCCACCCAGCGCCTGCGCCGCAGGTGTCTGTCGAGCTCATTCCATTGGCAAAGTCCTCGCAAAACAATAAGAGTCCAAGCAGAAGCAGCAGTAGCAGCAGCGAAGTTCGCGCGAACCCCGAATGTCTCCTTTGGCGAAGTGGTTCCAGCGTGGCCCCTCTACTGATCCGAGAGAAGTGAAGCGGGCTGGCCTCGCAGACGGAAAAGATGACGGCATCTACCCCGAAGAGGCGACGGAGCTTGGCGAGCTCTTTGTGCAGTACTCAGTGGGCAGTTCGGCCGACCATTTCTACTACACGTGGGTCGACGCCAGCGACCTGTCTTACCACAACTTTGAGTGCATCCTCCCCCTGGACCGTGCATTGAGGCCACTAGAAACGGGAGCCAGGAGCCTCTCTCTGTCCGGAGAGAACGCAACGCGGCTTCACCTGCAGATGGAAGTTTTCTCGTACACTCTTGGCGGCACCGTCTTGCCGCTTTTGTATCGATTGGACGAGCTCGGACTGTACTTGGAGCAGTCCAACGCGGCGCAAAGAGGCGGCAAGAGGCTCGTATTCAGCTCAACGGCCCTGGCGAATGGCCTCACCAGGGCCATCCGCGACTCGGACCTTTTCGAAGTGATGCTGGGCGATACGGAGAAAACTTCTGCAGGTCGGCCGAAAATGAAGCGGTACCGGAGGCGACGCGGAAGAGAAAGACAAACACCCCTCCTCGTCAGCCTGCGCGGACAAACACGTCCGTTTTCACATCCCAGCCCAACGACCCTTCCGAGATCGATCATCGATCCGCGCTCGCTGGACGAGATCGCCGTCCTGGGACTCCACTCGCAAATACCCCCGCCTTCCTCCGTATGAGGCCGCTGATTCGGACGGGTGTCTCGCTTGACGAGCAGCGGAGACAGGAGAACAAGCAGAGCCGCATTCTCCGCCTGAATCAGGTACGAGTCATCGTACCAAAACCTCCCCCACCACCAAGAAACCCTTGTCATTTGTAATGACTGTCTTCTCTCAACCGTGACTGGCGTCCCTGGCCTGTTTTTGCTGCTGCTGCCCCAACAGGTTCGTTTGCAGGCTCGCCAGCAGTCACGCGTCCGTCAGCAGGAATTTGGACTCGCACGGCGGTCGGCTTTGGACGATTTGGCGACGGAACTGAAGGTCCCGACGGGTGGATCTTTGTTGCTAGAAGGCCGTCTGATACTGATTTGGAGCAGGCCAGGTGCCTCGAGGATTTGGACCTGAAGGCTGAGCAGCTTTACGAAAACCTCCGCTCAAGCAGTCGAGTCTTTGGCCTGGGACATGCCTCTGCACATGCCTACACGGAGAAGCCAGGTGCGGAAAACGATTTGGATGCACCTGGAAATGTCACCCGTCTGATGTTTCTCGATCGCAAATAGAATGAAGAGCGCAAGCACCTCGTCGAGACACTTTCGATTCAGAAGTCGAATGCTGCAGCCCGAGACCGCGTTGCACAGAAGAAGGTTTGCTCAAGCGCATTAGTCCCCCATGTTTTTGAAACTGAAAGCAGATTCAAGCCGAGATGGACGAAAGATCCGGAGGCGAATTTCCAGCATTTCAAAGCCCTCGGTGTCCGCGATGCAGAAAGCAAACTCTCCCGCGAAAGGGCGTTGTGGTTTCGGGAGAACCCGTCTCGTGCGGCATCCAATTTCGAGTTTATCGCTCCAAACCCGATCGCCAAAGCTCGTTCGACCACGTCCCATGATTTGTTTGAGACGACCAACTTTCACAGAAGCGTCGCAGTTTCTCGATTGGAGCCTACCACGGCGGTCCATACTCGGCCCAATGCTGCTCGTGCTGCTGAGGCAGCAGCCGATGAGACAGCACATCGTTTGAGGCAGAAGGAGCAACTTACTGAAATGCACCATGCAAATGCACAAATTCGTTCTTCAAAAGCATTCGAAGCCAACGCGATGGAAAAGGTCGTCTTCCCTTCCGGGCTTTGTTGATCTCTGACATCCATGCAGCGAAAGGAGAAGTTACTTTCGAGCCTGGCAGACCTAAGAGTGCAGGATAAAAGGCGCAAGCATAAAAGCTCATTGGCGCTCGCCTCAGCACGGCCAGCAGGTTTTGTGACCGCCGGCCCAGGCTATCTGAAGGAAACGTTTTCCCAGAAATTCTCTGCCGGTTAGTTATCAAGAATTGACGATTTCAACTGATATTTATCGCTTGTTTAGGCGGAATAGAATTGGCACCCACTAGCTCTGCAAACATCGGAAAACGAGGCTACACAGAGCAGCTGGATTCTCCAGCTGTCAGCATTATATTTTCCCCATGACTGGACACTGTCTTTCCTTGAGCCACAGGACAACGCCGTTTTTTGAAAATGATGAGGATGAATTCATCTTAAGACAGACAGCAAGCCCACATAATCTGACGGTGGATGGAGATGAATGCGCGCGGATGGCTGAAAATCAATAAATCCAGTAACCACAAATAATATTTCTTTCATCAAGTGCGTCCTTAACCAACCGGGATAGCTATTGTGTGAACAAACGAGAAGAGAGTCCTTCGGTTCGACTCAACACAACAATTTTCCCATCGAACGTTAATACCCAGCAATTGAGCACTTGAACGACTGGAAGTGCCCAATCAACTGGCCAGGACGTTTCTCGCAC